ACGCAGCTATCATAGGTGCACCTGCTGAATTTGTGACTGGTCATGAAAGAATCGAACCTCTTGTACCATTGTCTAGGAGACTGCTTGAGGCCATAAAGAGATTTGTTCAACTTGCATACGTAGTTCTCCTTTCCAGGAACTACAAAACCTTCAGGTTGTTGCATAAAAATCTCTTCCTCAAGCTCACCATTTAGGAAAGCTGTAGTGACATCAAGTTGTTCTAACTCAAAATCGTTAGAAGCAACCAACCCCAACAATACACGAATGGAAGTATGTTTGACAACTGGGGAATAAATGTCAGTGTAATCAATACCAGGAATCTGACTGTAGCCTTTAGCTACTAACCGAGCTTTGTATCTTGGTTTATCATTTGGGTTGACAGGTTCCTTGAGCTTATAGACCCACTTGCATTTAACTGGTCTCTTCCTTTTCGGAATAGGAACTAAATTCCAAGTACTGTTTCGCTGCAAGGATTCCATCTCATTTTGCATAGCGAGCATCCAATCATTTGAGTCTTCAGATTTGATAGCCTTGTCATAATTCGCAGGCTCCGTTGTGTACTCAATATTATCAGCAACAATAAAAGCATAGGCAACCAAATCAGATTCAGCATACCTCTTCGGAGGAATAATCTGTCTTCTCGGTCTATCTCTTGCAATGCTTGGAGTAGTAGCTTGTGGTTGTGAAGGTGTTGAATCTTCACCAACAACATGCTCATCCGACGAAGAAGAATCTTGATGCTGATTTGTACTCTGATTAGTGGTAGGTGAAGTAGGAAGCTCCACCTCCATTTGAGCATACTCTTTATTTGCTTCGGATGATACATCTGATGCATCTGTTCTTTTAGAAGAGTCAGCAACTGGTTGAATCATAGCAGACTCATCAAAAGTAACATCTCTTGAGATGATAATTTTCTTCAAATCAAAGCTCCATAACTTGTAACCCTTTACACCTTGATTGTACCCAAGAAAAACGCATTTGATTGCTCTTGGTTCTAGCTTCCCATTGTCAACTCGTGCATACGCTGGACATCCGAATGGTTTTAAATCTGAATAATTGGCAGGTTTACCGGACCATAACTCAAACGGAGTTTTCTTCTCGATTGCTCGTGACGGTGATCGGTTGATAACATAGCAAGCAGTCGAAGCAGCCTCCGCCCAAAAAGACTTTGGCAATTTGGAATTAGAAAGCATACACCGGACCTTCTCCATAATGGTGCGATTCATCCTTTCAGCTACACCATTTTGTTGAGGTGAATGGACTACTGTGCGATGTCGAGTAATGCCTTCCTTTTGACAATAGACATTAAACTCTTCTGAGCAAAACTCAAGTCCATTATCCGTACGAAGATACTTTACCACCAGACCTGATTGCTTTTCAACCTGAACTTTCCAATTTTTGAAGGTATAGAAAACGTCTCCTTTATGTTTTAAGAAGAAAGACCACACCTTCCTGGAGAAATCATCAATAATAGTGAGCATATAAATAGCTCCACCTTTTGAAGCAACTCGAGCCGGTCCCCACAAATCCGAGTGAACATAATCAAGTGGTCCTTTCGTTGTATGGATGCCACTTGCAAACCTCACTCGTTTTGCCTTGCCATATACACAGTCTTCACAGAAATCCAAATCAACAATCTTTTGTTGACCAAGTAAACCTCTTCGACTCAATTCTGACATGCCTTGAAAACTCATATGGCCGAGTCGAAGGTGCCAAAGACGGGACTGATCTGGATCAGAAAGAGACTTTGAAACAACAGCAGCATCACTCGAAATTGTTTGCCCGTCAAGAAAGTAAAGATCTGAGGTTTTTCGTTTGGCTCTCAGTTTGTCGGAGCCGTCTTTGAATACCCTGAGAACTCCACCTTTACCAGCAAACTCGTATCCCCTTTTGTCAAAGGAACTGAGAGATAACAAGTTTCTTCTGAGGTCAGGAACATATCTAACATCCCCCATGGTTCGAATAACTCCGTCAAACATACGGATCCTGACTGAACCATGTCCAAGAACTGGACATGTAGTATTGTTACCCATCAACACATAGCCCTGGTTAACCTTTTCAAATGTGTAAAACCAACTTTTGTTGTGACACATATGAAAAGTACAACCAGAGTCGAGTATCCAATCACCAGTGGAATCCAGTTTATCTGAATAAACTGTCAAAAGTTCTCCAATACCTTCCACCTCAGCTACATCGGCTTCACCCGAAGTGCTAGCTTGTTTACCATTTGCTGCCGTCTTCTCTTTTTCTTTATTCTTCAACTTGAAGCATTCTTCAAGCACATGTCCCTTCTTGTGACAATAGTTGCAAAACTTTCGTTTGCCTTTTGATTTGGATCTGGTTCTGTTGGAAGATTGAGAAGTTCTACTTCTCTCTGTTGTTCTTCCTCTGGCATTCAAACCTTCGGCTTTAGCATCACTTGAACCACCACCAGTAATATGCTTCATCTTCTCTTTGGAATCCAAAGCTGTATAGACTTCATCTAAAACTAAAGTGTCACGGACTATAGATAATAGTATCACGAAAATGGCTATAGGATTCTGGCAACGACGACAGTAAGAATAAAGCCAAGTCTTCATCTTCATATGAACATCCATATTCTCTAAGTTATTTACTAACTCTTTAAATGTGGATATATGTTCAGTTAAAGAGCCTCCTTCAATCATCTTGAGATTGAACAACCGTTGCTTCAAATGCAACTTGTTTGGTAAGCTCTTGGTCATCAACAGTTGCTCCAACTTTAGCCATAAAGAAGCCGCTGACGTTTCTTTTAGAACATCTTGCAAAACATCGTTTGACAAGTGCAAACGAATCTGGGATAAAGCCTTCAGATCTTTCATCTCCTTTTCTTCTTCGGTCCATGTATCGGGCATCTTATTGAAACCCAAAAGCGCCTTGTGTAAATCCATCTGAATGAGAATGTCTCTCATCTTTACTTGCCACAACGGAAATCGTGTGTTACGATCCAGTAGTGGAATATCGTATTTTACCGAAGACATGATTAATTACTTGATAAAATGATCCCAATGAGCTAATATTACAACCCGGATGCTCTGATACCAATTGTTGTGAAATACGAAGGATCCGAATAGACTTAAATAATATTAGCTCAATGCGGAATGGGATCAAAAATTATCAAAGCGTAATAATCACAACGAAATACGAATAAAATAAATAGAATAGAGACACACGAATTTACGTGGAAACCCAAATCGGGAAAAAACCACGGGCGGAGGAAGCCGAGAAACAATTCACTATAATTTGCAGTGTTTACAGGGATTATGAAAGAGATTACAAATAGAGTGAGAGAGCTAAAATATATGTGGTGGTGTATCTGTATATATATATATATATATATATATATATATATATATATATATATATATATATATATATATATATATATATGTAATGTTTTACTATATATATATATATTTTGATTGTTTGGGTTTTTCGTGGGTTAAATCTCTCTGGCTATTTATAGCCAAAGAGGAGAATACAAATGAAAGAAGAAAACAAAAATGCCGTCCAAGACAAAATTGCTGCGCCTACAATCTTCAAATTCATATTGCATATTACTATACACATATAATAATGTCTGCGCCTCCATTCCGTCCAATTTCATTTTCAATTTCATATTAGATTACTATTCATAGTCAAACTATGAATAGTAAATGATAAGTTACGGAAATAACCCCTGAACTATTTGCCACTTGCTAATTTTGGAGGCAACTTTTCACAAGAAATATAGGATTTCCGTGTGTTGTGGGTTCGGAAAGATGAAGAAAAATCAAAGAGAAAAGCTGATGTGACAGTGGGTTCGGTGGGTTCAGTGGGAACGACTCCCTCCTCCCTAATAGTAAGTACATATGCGTATATTCTTAAGGTTTCATTCATTTTTGGTTGTGTGAAGAATGAATGTTTTGCATATCCTCAAAGCCAATCAGGTAGTTTGGGTCATGTCTTTTTGATTTGAATACGTTCTTTTTTATTTGAATACATTTGAATGAATGCATTTGTGAATATTGTTCGTGTACTGTGTGATGTGGACATTCGGTACTAAACAGACTTGAAATGTAGATGTAAAACTATTGGTGCTCCATGCAATTCAAAATCAATTATACACACAGTAAGATTATATAAACAATGAATGATAGATTCATTTATCGGCCTACCCGTTCACCGAACGGGTATTACACTAGTTGTTTTTTACCGAAAAAAAGCTACAAAAAAATAAAAATAAAAAATTGCGAAAAAATATGAATTATTATTTTGAAAGTTTTTGTGGCAGATACCATTCATAAAACAATTTGGCAATTAACTAATCAATTGCAAAATTGGTAGTCAATTTGTTAAATGTCAAGATCATATGGTTATTTTGGCTGTAGATTCGTTAAATGTGTACTGGAGGAAAGGAGATGGTAGATGTAGATTACATTTTCCATCCTGCTATAGAAATGTGATTAAATTCATATATTTTTGTTTCTAAACATTGATTGTGGACGAACTTTTTTTTCCTTGATTACTTGCAATATATGTTTCAAAACATTGTTTGTAGACGAAAACACCATCATTTCGTGATAATTTCTATTATATCTTGTAATAAAAAAGTATACATTATTCCAAAATCTTCAAATTCAGCTGGCAAATTAGCTCGATGTTAGTCCATCTTAAATTACATAACTTACCAAATATATGTAATGTACATGTTAGCATCAGTTTTTTGCTTTTAACCATGTAAAACACACACAAATAGCTCAATTCAAACACACCAAAAAACTAGAAACAGTTCATGGTATATTTTTGGTTATAAACTAGGATAATGATCATGGTAATTGATATAAACAATATTGTATTTAATCTTCATTGCCAATAATCTTTTAACCTTTTCCTCTTGTACATTCTAGATCCAGAAGGCTCCATCTTCTACAAGTACTTGCCCTCTTCATTCACAAACTAACCAAATAAATATGGCCACGCCATTAACCATTCAAAAACCCATGCTGCTCAAAATATGCCTACTCCTTTTTAGCGTGACAACAATAGCCACAAAGGATGCAGCGAGTGAAACAGTGGGACCCGTATTCATCTTTGGGGATTCAATAGTAGATGTTGGCACAAACAACTATCTCAAAAACTGCACCGCACAAGTCAATCACCCATATTACGGGGTCGATTATCCACATTCAATAGCAACCGGAAGGTTCAGTAATGGCTTAAACCCTGCCGATACTGTCGGTAAGTTATTCATTTTCATATACAGTACAAAACCTTAATGGATGACCCCATAGGAAGTCTAGGTGTCCCAGTGTTGTGTTTCTTAAAATGGATAATATCTTGGTACGTGCGTTTGGGATATTACATATGTGTTGGGAGCAAATTCCTAGGGTTCAAAACCTAGAACGCCAAAAAATATTTTTGGTGCTCCACAATTTACCCCCATGCGATGAATAAACAAGTTTAAGATAATTATTTACGTGTATGTGCAGTCGCACTTTTAGGTGGCTACAAAGAAAGTCCGCCGCCATTTCTTGCACTCCTTGCACACAGTTCCAACCTTACGGGAGACTTACTTCATGGGGTGAACTTTGCTTCCGGAGGTGCTGCCCTTGTTAAAGGAGTTAGGAAACAAGTTGTGGTAAGTGTCTTCTCTATAAAATTGGAATACTATTTGAGGGTTCTTAAAATATTGTAATTTTTGTCTTATTTTCACAAATCTCGGTTAAGTCCAATGCATGTCAAATACAGTTCAAGATCGTCTTGTTTTGTCGGCTCATGTTATGTTATGTCATGTCATGTCATGCATTATGAATAACAAAGTATGATACTGGCACAGGGGAATGTGGTATCGTTAGAAGAGCAAATTCAGCAATTTGCAACCGTTCAAGGAAACATAACCACATTACTAGGCAAGTCAAAAGGTCAACTTCTAATTCATGGTTCAATGTACATCATTTGTGTTGGAAGCAATGACATCGTGAACTACGTATTCTCCCATCCTACAACTCCCGAGGTCTTCATTGCCAACATTACAGACATCTACGCTATTCATCTAAAGGTTCGCTAACATTTGTCACTACCATCTCTAAATTTTGATTTTCAACTTTCTACTCATATTATATTGTTTTAATTTTTTAAATTGGCAGAACTTATATAACCTAGGAGCAAGAAAGTTTGGAATAATGGGTGTTCCACCACTTGGATGTTGTCCGATTTCTCGTGCATTTTCTGGTGGTGATTGTGCAAAGGAACTTAACGATGTGGCTAGTGCGTTCTACACAACATTAGAATCCCTTTTGAAAAACTTGAGCTCTACACTTGAAGGATTCAAGTACTCACTTGGGAACTCATACAATATGACTATGAGTGTCATTGAAAACCCCCCAACTGGTAAATGGAAACCATAAGTTTTTTATTCACTTGCAAATGCATACATTCGGCTTCTAAAGTGACACGTTTTCACAGGGTTTAAAGATGTTAAAACACCATGTTGTGGGAATCAACCATTAGCAGGAATAAATGACTGCAAGGAAGGAGAGTATCTTTGCCCAAAAAGGGATGATCACTTGTTTTGGGATGCGTTTCATCCATCTGAGGCAGCCTCCAAACTGGCGGCTCGAGTGTTGGTTTTTGGTGAAGATCCGAATTTTGTGACTCCAATCAATTTTAGCAGTTTGAGAAAGGCTTGATCTTTAGAATCTTAACTAAGGAGATGAAAAGATCATTAATTTGTATCGTGTGTCGTATCTTCTACTCTATTTATATCGTTCATGAATAAACTTCAGCAAATCGAAGTTGTCACCCTTTTCGTATTTGTATCTGTTTTTACTTCTTTCCGGGGACTTGGTTTCAGGAGGGTGTGAAGGCTTATAATCAGGGTACTTAGGTGTTGTTTGTTTTTTTAGAAAAACCTCTTCAAACCACTTTCTGCTGCGGGGCGCAGCACACGCGCAACACTTTTCCTCTCGCAGCAGTTTGTTTTTTTGGAAGACTTCAGACTGCAAAACCTCTGCGCGTGCGCTGCGTGGCGCAGCACTTGGCTTGACTCTTCAAACCTCTTCAGCTTTCAATTTTTTGAAGTGTTTTTTAGAATTTTAGTATAACTTATTTTTTTTAAACTTTTATTTACGAATTTGATACAATTTCTTATTATAGTTTCCACAAATTTTTTTAACTTGATTTAAAAAAAAAAAACTTTGAATTTTTGAATTTTTTTTACTGTTTCTGTTAATAATATTTTTATTTTCAGTTTAATCTTTTTTAACGGGTGTAATTTTTTACGAACTTTGTAGACATCGTTTGCAATACTTTCTTAATTTTTTTATTATTTTCTTTTTTATGTTTTTTTAAAATTAGTTTTTTTCTAGAATAAAGTTGTTAGTTTCTTTTATATTTTTGTAAGTTTTTTTTTAAAAAAAGTTTTATATTTTTGTTTTTTTACATGTTCTTTTTAGTACTCTTTCAATGTTTTAAGACTAGAATTATTAAAATTTCGGTGTTGAGAACTATTTTAAGTTTATAAAATTAGTTTATTTAAATTTCAGTTTACTGCAGCAGTCTGCAGATGTTAAAAAACAAACATGCTTCTTATTATGGGCTGCATTCGTTTGTTCCACCTCTTCTGCTACAGAGGATTGCAGAGGTGGTCAGCAGACTTCATGAATTTTCGCTTCGAAAAAACAAACAGCACCTTAATGTATGTTCTAGTTTGAGAGAGAATCACAAAAATAAGTGACATTTAACAAATTGACCATTTTTTTTACTAATAACACAAATGACAACCAATTTCACAATTGATAATTTCAAAATTATTTTTACTAACAAAAGGATGCAAAAATACTTATTAAAAATTGGCAAAAATAAAATTTTCGCAATTTTACTACAAATTGTTTTTTATTATTTTTAAAGGTTTTATGTGGTTGATACCCTTCATAAATAATATTGTAATGTACGATTGATCAATTGCGAAATTGGTGGTCATTTTGCGCTGTGTGACAAAAGGTGATTAATTTGTTAGAACATATGGTGGTCATTTATGTGATTATCCCTTTTGTACTTTATCTATTTATGCTTTTCATACGGTATTTACCTTCTTACTTTTGATCCCTTTTCTCCATGGGATTGGGTATTCATGTTGTATCTGTTTTCACTTCATGAGTTCTGAATAGGCTGTTTAAACCCACTCAAAAGCACAAGTCAACCACAGATTGTGAACATACAATTCGGGATTCTATTCATTTCTTTTAAACATAAAAGAGAACAGAAACATGGATGAAAGATTGTGAATTCATAATAGCAGAATGTTGTAGAGTTTACTTTGAGGATACAAATTTTCTGACTGCATCACTAGATTGTTGAGCAAAATACTTTTGTCTAAGAAATACATACGGGTACCCAATAATAGAGAGAGGATGTGCTGGTTTTGAGAAGGAAAGTATTTAATACCAAACTTGTTTCTCTTCATCCATCTCAACTGAAAATCTCTCTTCACCAGACTGCTTTAAACAAAATTTCAATGAGAAACTTGATATAGAGTTTAGAAAAATGCTTCTAAAAAGGTTTTTATGGATTTACACAAACAAATATAGGGTTTTTGATAGGATAAGTTCAGAATTATCTCATCATATCAAATGAAAACATTACACATACAAAAAGAGGAAAGAAAGTACACACACACCAGTAAGTGTCCCCTGAGAGTGCCTCCACCAAAACCAAAAGAAGAAACAACCAATTTAGGGTTTCTTGTTTCATTAACATAAACAACCTGCAATGGCATCCTGAGCCATGGAAAGAACTCCTTCACACAAGCACAAAACTTCACCCCATTTTCAATTGGTGTCTTTGGATCAACAAATGCCCAACTCAATCCAAAATGCCTAAAATTTCCCAAAATAGAACCATCAATTCTGTGTATCTTAACAAAATCACAATCAGATTCTCTTCATTTTCAAATTCATTTGGAAGATAGTAAAGATATAAACAAACCTCCAAGTTTGCAGAGCAGTCTTGCCTTTTTCGTATGCGTCAGCGCCTGATCCCACTAAAGTTTTTGAATGATTGATTAAAAATCCATCTTTTGAAAACACTTTATCTTCTTTAAGAACAGACAATGGTTTTACAGTAGCTCCTCTGTATTTACTGTCATAGTTGAAGGTACCTGACCTGATGCATATCGTCCAACATATTAGGCGCAAACACAGGCAGTGAAATTAGGGTTTTTGGGAATGAATCATACCGGTCTAATATCACAGTCTAACAAGGAAAAAGGAGTTCACAATATCTCAAATTCTTAGAACTGATATCGAATCACAAAATAAAGCAAATAATTGCTTAAACCTTACTTGCTAAAGCAATCCTTCTGCTCTTTGGGAGAAGAGTGAGTCCATGATACAGCTTACTTTGAGGGTAAGGAAGAAGAACACAAGTTGGGACAATTTTCTCTGTATTTTCTATGCTTTAAAAGGAAATAACAACTGAATTAAATATGCAGCTAAAGGATAAAGTCTAGGAGATCATGGATCTCATGGATGCAGAAACAAAGGAAACGTGATGCTAATTACTTGCCCCTCCCCCTTGCAAACAGCTAGTCTCGAGCCTGATGGGATAATCTGATTGATGTCAGACCTCTGGAAATCGGTCTCGAAATGCTTCATAAGGTTCCCACGTGGCATCTTCTAGTCCCTTATTTTTCCAGGAAACCAAAACTTGCAGCTGGTTGTTGTGATGCCGGTGATTGAGGATGTGAGCGGGAATTGGTACTTCGTCGTCTTCATTGTTGGTAACTGGTAACGGTATGGTAGTTGGGTTGCCATGGGCTTGGCGGAGTAACGAAACATGGAAGACCGGATGTACTCGCGATTCCGGTGGAAGTTGGAGTCGGTAAGCAACATTGCCGACTCGTTCGGTGATTTTGAATGGTCTATAGAATCGTTTTGCTAAGTTTGGTTGTGTCCTGGGACCGAACGGACTATTAGTGGTAGTCACGGAGTCGCAAATAGACCATAGACTCAAAACTCTTTGTCAAGCCTGTGAGAGTTTGCTAAGTTGGTAACTCTTTGCTGGGCCTGTGGAAGGTTGTCTTTGAGTAAGGATGTTAAAAATAATTACATTACATTTATTATTAAAGTTTATTTGTGAGTAACTTTTAATGAAGGGTTTGTTTTGTCATTGTTTGTTTCTTCAGAGGTTGTGGCTCGCTTTCTATATTCTTATATGGAATGGAATGTGGATCTATTCACGGATTTGGTTCGGGTTAAACCAGACTTGAACCGGAAAGATAACACAAAGTATAAATTTGTGGTTGTAGGAGTATTTTGAGCATAACTCATTTTTGTATCAAACGTTTATTCTCATTATTTGCTCTCGTGTGTTCCATCTCGCTCTAGGGTTTTCTTAGTTGTTCTTGTTCTTTAATTTCCTCGAGTTATAATGGTTTTGAGTCTTGAGTCTTTGTTTTTTCTTTGAGTGTGAGTGGTTTTGTAGGTGAGGTTTCAGTTGTAAGTACCTGAAAACCAACTAGATCTTTTTTTACATAAATAAAAGATATGTTGATGTTGTGATAATCGATCTTGTGTTAGTTTTATGTTTTTGAACAAAGGATCTTAGCCGTTGATGTTCCACGAGTATGGTGTCAATGGATGTTGTTGAAGAGTCCCCAAGGTGGTAACGGTGAAGATCGGGAACATGTTGTCACACCCCGAAACCGTGATGACGGAATCGTTCCGGGGTGGAGGACGTCATGTTTAGCATCAGAACCAATGTATAATAGCAATCATAGTAAACACAACCCAAACATTGCATACATGAAAATTTTATATATGTTTACATCAACTTGAAGTTTGTTTAAATACATCAAAAGTATAAGGAAAATATAAAGACATAATCTTATTCGCTCCGACTTCTTCACAATGCTCGGAAGGTACCTATCTACTGATTCCCTGAGAATACAAGCAGTTTTGAAAGAATATCAGCAAAAATCTGGTGAGTTCATAAGCATTTAGTTTTTGGTGGAAAATGTTCTTTTGATTCTTTTGAAAAGTGATCCTCAAGAAAATCCCATATTTTCTTATGAAAAGCAGGTTTGAAACCCGTTCCTTCCATGACTTCCCGGTTCGCACCAAGTACGCACAATCCAAGGAGTCATGGAATGAATACGAACATTCATTAGTAGAAAATAAACCATCAGTTTTAGAAATGCCAGTGTTATCCTAGGAAAATCCTATATTTTCCCTATAAACAGGTTATCCGTCCTAGAGGTAGAGATGCCAGTTTAGAAATCTCTGATTACTATCAGCATATATAAAAGTAGTTTTATTACTCAAAATAAAACTAATGAAGAATAGAGTCCGTAAACCAAAGTTAGTTTATACTTATTTGCGAGTCGTATAACCATACTTGATATGACCAAGAGACCTTTACAACGTTCTTCAGGCGTTAAGCTAAATGACATTTGTTCACCCCAGGCATGCCTGACTAACTGTAGCTAGCAGTTCAGGTGTGGGATTGTCAGTCCCGAATAAATCTATTCACAAATCTCACGCTCTCCCTCCAGGAGACTCTGGTTATACTAAAATGATTTATCCCTGTACACCTAAGGATACAGTATTGAAGTAGAGCCTCACAATTCTGTATAATCTAATTTACGCGCTAGAAACAGTATAAAACAATAAAATAATTGTATTTTATACTCCTAAGAAAATATATAACATAAACTAAATCTGTCATAGTTTATATATATTCATTCATGAAATCTGATTTGATAAAAACTGCCTAGAGGGTTATCCCAAACTATACCCATTATAGTTTATTAGAGTTGATATGGAAAAATGTTTTGTAAAAACCTTTCTGAAATCATGAAGTTAGATTTCCAAAATAAAAGCTTCCCTTATGCTCAACTTAATACAAAAGGGGTAAAATATCGAAATATTTTATTGAACGTGGAAATCATTGAACTGTATTAATAAGTTTAAAACTTAATAAAATACTTTCAGTTTGGCTTGTATTCCCCCCTAAAAACATTAAAAACACGGAAAATATAGGGGTATGAACTCACCTCGGGTTAGTGGTTTGATTGAAGGATCGATACGGAAGGCTGGATGTTCAAGTGAAGTCTTGAACACGATTTGATCCTAGTTAACACGTAATGACACATAAAGGAGTCAAATGAAGGTATTTTACCACTAGATGTGATGGAGAACCACTCTAGGGACTTGGTACTACTTGCACTAAGTGTTAGGACCTTAAAGGATTGCATGAGGGAGGTGTATGGCTACCTTAAAGGTGTGTGCGGCCATGGGTGTGCGGATCAAGGGGTGTGCGGCCGTACACTCATGTTAGAAAGTGTCTTTGAGGTGTTTCAAGGTCCATAGTTACATCCATGAAGTGTTCTAGGTCTATACTCAATTGTAGTGCAAGTTAAGGGTCCTAGAAGTGGGTTTGCGGCCCTAGGATGAGTGTGTGGTCGCACACTAGAGTGTGCTGCCGCACACAAGGAGTGTGCTACCGCACAAGGGTGTGTGCGGCCGTACAGAGGTGTGTGCGGTCGTACACCCTACAAGATGATGTCCAAAATGTCAATTCCAAGGTGCAACAAGGCTAGGTTCATGTCTATCTCGAATATGGAAGTCAATCTCTCACTTTGGAGGGTATTTTAAGAGTGTGCGGCCACCTTAAGGGGGTGTGCGGCCGCACTCACTTCCAAACATGAAGAACATGACGAATATTACACACTTAAGGCTTAGATAGAGTGGTCTTTCATGGTTTGCAAGCTAGAGGATGAATTACTCACGTTTTTGAAGCTTTGGAGGGTTTGTGGTTGAAGAAGCTTGAGAGAAATGGTGTGGTGTGCTGCCAAGGTGTTAAAGGAATGAGAGGAAAGGGGGATACCCTTTATATAAGGGTAAGTATGCTGCCTAAAAGTGAGTGTGCGGCCAAGAGGTGAGTGTGCGGCCGCACACCCATGTGTACAGCCGTACACTCCCCCTAAGGGTGTGTATGGCCCGGTTTTGACACTATACGACTTGTTGACTCATTCCTAAACTCAACCTTGGTCATACTCAATCTTAGAACACTTAAATGAACCCTTAAGCAGCACAAGAAGTCAACAAAACAAGTTTAACATTGATTGAATTGACTAAATGTACAAGATAGAAGTTCCGGGTTGTCACATCATCCCCCCCGTTAGAGGGAATTTCGTCCCGAAATTCAAGAATAGAATACAAATCATGGACTAGGAAAGAGGTGAGGGTACTTCTGCTTCATTGAATCCTCGCGCTCCCAAGTGAATTCAGGTCCCCGCTTGGCGTTCCAGCGAACCTTCACTATCGGGATGCGGCTCTGCTTCATGCGCTTGACCTCCAGGTCCATGATTTCGACAGGTTCTTCCACGAAACGTAGACTTTCGTCTAGCTCAATCTCGTCGAGGGGAATCACAAGTGTCTCATCGGACAGACACTTCTTTAGGTTCGACACGTGGAAGACGGGATGGATGTTGCTGAGTTCTCGTGGTAACTGGAGTCTGTATGCTACGGGACCGATCCTAGCAAGGATCTCGAATGGTCCTATGTACCTTGGGTTTAGCTTTCCACGTTTTCCGAAACGTATCATGCCTTTCCAGGGTGAGACCTTCAGAAGGACACGGTCACCAACCTGGAATTCCAAAGGGCTTTCGCCTCTTATCGGCATAGCTCTTTTGTCTATCTTGTGAGGCCTTCAGTCGCTCTCGGATTTGTACGATCTTTTCAGTTGTCTCTCGGATGATTTCAGGACCTATGAGAGTGCTGTCGGGGACTTGACCCTTGGCTAGCTGTGTGTCACCCACTTCATCCCAGCACAGAGGGGATCTGTACTTGCGGCCATAGAGGGCTTCAAACGGCGCATCCTTGATGCTGGTATGGTAGCTGTTGTTGTAGGAAAATTCAACCAAAGGAAGATGAGTGTCCCATGACGTGCTGAAGTCGATGACACAGGCTCTCAACATATCTTCCAATGTCTGAATTGTTCTCTCACTCTGTCCATCTGTGTGTGGATGATAAGCCGTGCTCATATCCAACTGAGTTACAAGAGCCTTCTGTAGTGATTTCCAAAATCTCGAGGTAAACTTGCTATCTCGTTCGGAGATAATGGATACAGGTACCCCATGGAGGCGAACTATTTCTCAAATGTAGATCCACGTGAGTCTCTCCATCTTGAAGTTTTCTTTGATTGGCAGGAAATGGGCGGACTTCGTCAACCGATCGACAATTACCCAGATGGCGTCGTGCCCACTCAGAGATCTGGGTAACTTGGTGATAAAATCCATTCTTATCCTTTCCCACTTCCACTCAGGTACCTCTGGCTGCTGAAGTAGACCTGAGGGCTTTTGATACTCCACCTTTACCTTGGCGCAAGTCAAGCACTTGCCCACGAAGGCTGCAATTTCTGCCTTCATGTTTGGCCACCAGTAGAGTTGTTTGAGATCCAGATACATCTTATCTGAACCTGGGTGAACGGGGTATCTAGACTTGTGAGCTTCATTCATGACAACCTCCCTGTACCCGCCGTACTTTGGGGTCCAGATCCGGTTCATGAAATAGTAACCTCCGTCTCTCTTGACCTCTAAGTTCTTGTCCATTCCCCGCAGTGCTTCCTCTGCCATGTTCTCTTGTTTCAAGGCTTCCAACTGAGCCTCTCTGATTTTCGCGGACAAATGGGAATGGATGGTCATTGTTAGTGCCTTCACCTTACGCCCTGAGTACTCCTTTCGGCTGAGAGCATCCGCTACCACATTGGCCTTGCCGGGATGGTAGCGTATTTCGCACTCGTAGTCACTGAGTAGCTCTACCCATCGCTGTTGTCTCATGTTTAACTCCTTTCTGATCAAGGATATGTTGCAAGCTTTTATGGTCGGTGAAAATGGTGCACTTGGTTCCGTAGAGATAGTGCCTCCAGATCTTCAGCGCAAAGACCACTGCTCCCAACTCTAAATCGTGAGTTGTGTAATTGACCTCGTGTGTTTTCAACTGCCTCGAGGCATAGGCGATAACCTTTCCTCGTTGCATAAGCACACAGCCTAGGCCCTGATTGGACGCGTCACAGTAGACAACGAAGTCTTCCGTTCCCTCGGGCAGGGACAAGATAGGTGCGCTACATAGGGTCTGCTTCAATTTTTGAAATGCAGTGTCTTGCTTAACTCCCCAACTAAAGGTTACACCTTTCTGTGTCAGGGTAGTTAAAGGCTTGGCGATTCTGGAGAAGTTCTGGATAAACCTGCGATAATAGCCCGCGAGACCCAAGAATTGCCGGATTTCTGTGGGTGTCTTTGCTGCAGACCAATTTTCAATCGCTTTGATTTTGGAAGGGTCCACGTGTATGCCTTCCTCGCTAACCACGTGACCAAGGAAAGTTACCTTCCTGATCCAGAACTCACACTTTGAAAATTTTGCATATAGCTTCTCCGCCCTCAATGTTTCGAGCACTTTCCTCAAGTGTTGTTTATGGTCGCTCTCACTCCGCGAATAGACAAGTATATCGTCGATGAACACGATTACGAACTTGTCCAGGAAAGGGCGGCACACCCGATTCATCAGATCCATGAATACTGTCGGTGCGTTGGTCAGACCAAAGGGCATTATTACAAACTCCTGGTGCCCATAGCGAGTTCGAAATGTTGTCTTGGGCACATCATTCTCGTGAACTCGCAACTGATGGTACCCTGATCTTAGATCTATCTTTGAAAAATAACTGGCTCCCTGAAGTTGGTCGAAGAGATCGTCGATTCTGGGTAAGGGATAACGGTTCTTGACGGTCAGCTTGTTCAGTTATCGGTAATCAATGCACATCCGAAAGGATCCATCTTTCTTTTTCACGAATAAGATCGGAGCTCCCCAGGGTGAGGAACTCGACCGTATGAATCCTTTGCTGATCAGCTCATTGAGTTGGCTGGATAACTCTTGCATTTCTGCTGGCGCCAAACGATAAGGAGACTTAGCTACAGGAGTAGCTCCGGGGTTAAGTCGATACGAAACTCGACTTGACGCTCGGGAGGAATTCCTGGGAGATCTTCGGGGAAGACATCAGGAAAGTTGCAGACTTCGGGGATGCTCTCGAGGTCTTTAGCCTTTTGCGTCTCCTCAACGACATGAGCTAGAAATGCATGGCATTCCTTCCGCAGATATTTCTGGGCTTTGATGCATGAAATGATGCGAAGGTTCGAACTGGGTTTATCACCATAAACCATGATAGCTTCACCAGAGGGAAGGTTGAGACGGATGGCTTTCTCGAAGCAAATGATATCAGTACGATTGGGGCTCAGCCAATCCATACCGATAATGACATTGAAACTCTTAATAGATACAGACATAAGATCGATGGGAAAAGAATGATTGCCTAGGGTAAGAGTACAGCCTATGAATATGTCGTTCGTGCTCTCTTTCTTTCCGTTAGCCATCTCGACGGTGAATTTTTCGGTTAATGGTTGGGATTTACATTTGATTAGATGTTTGAATGCATGACTAACAAAACTCCTCTCCGCACCAGAATCGAAGAGAATGCATGCATAAGAGTTGTCAAGGAGGAACGTACCCGTAACAATGGTAGGATCAGCGACCGCTTCCTCCTGGCCCATCGCCATCACTCTTCCTGTATTACCACCCGTTGTCGCCTTGGGCAGTTTCTTTTGAAGTGTCCAACTTCCCCACATCCATAGCAGGCTTGGTTGGCACCCGCTCCAGGAGTCGGATTAGTTGGTTGGGCTGGTGCTCTACAGTATCGGGTCGTGTGTCCCTTCCTCCCACAGTTGTTGCAATTCAAATCACGGCAGGTCCATGATGATGGAAGGTACACTTGTTGCACAGAGGTAGTTTCCCTGAATAATCCGGTAGGAGCTTGAGTGGTTGGAACAGCAGCTGGAGTAGCAGTAGGAGTAGTAGCAGCGTGGACTGCCACTGTTTGTTGTTTCTTGGAGGGCTCCTGAGGAGACTGGCCCTTGCGCTTGTTCCAATACTTCTTCTTCTTCGCACCACTCTCCTTTTGTGGCTCGGCGACCGTTGCTGCCTCATCTAGATCGACTCCATGATCGATCAGAGTCTGCGCCAGGCACTTGGCGCTATCAAATGTAGTTGGTCTGGCAGCCAAGACATTCCCTTTGGTTGGGGCCATCAGTCCCCAGATGTACCTTTCGATCTTTTTGCTTTCCGAGGTGACCATTCCCGGACAAAGAAGAGCCAGATCACAGAATCTAGCAATGCAGGCAGCGATGTCGGAGCCCTTCATCTTCAGATTCCAAAGTTCATGCTCCAACTTTTGCACTTCGCCCCTCGGGCAGTATTCAGCAAGCATGAGCTCCTTCATTCTTTCCCAACCCATGACATTATCCACTGGCAGAGTCGGGGATTTGACTTGACCGTTCCACCAGGTCAAGGCTCGGTCGGTGAAGGTGCAGGCGGCAAACTTCACCTTGTTGGCTTCGGAATAGGCGCAAATTTCGAAGATGGATTCGATCTTCTCGAACCATCGAGTCAGAGCGATGACACCTCCATTTTCGTCGAAGGACTTGGGTTTTGCAGTCATGAAGTCCTTATAGGAACACTCTTTTTTATGTCCCTGATTTCCGTCTTGTCTTTGAGGGTCGGTTCCACCTCCAGCCCCTCCAGCATTCACTTGTGCCATTGTTGCGGTCACGGCGGCTGTGACTGCTGCCTGGAACATGACGGGGTCGAACTGAGGGGGTGGTGGTGGTGGCGGTGCGTCATCGTTTCTCCTGTCGGATCTTCTGCGGGGAGGCATCTTGTTCTAGAAACAATCAGGAAGAAGAGGATGGTAAGTCCTCAAGATATATGAAACAAGATATATCTCATTCTGATAATAAAAGTGTTCTACCAAGCGATAAGCAAAGAAAGGTTACTAACACAAGTAAGTTATCGTTTAAGAAAGAAAAGGTAGTAACACTTGGAATGAATCTATATACGGAATTTGGCTCTAGCTAAAATACTCCTATAGTATTTTATGTTGAATATTTCTGTTCTCGATAAGTTTTAGGCTTGCTGCAACACCATAGTCACTCCCAAGCACATGTTGGTCATGTCTCGACTGAATATAGTTTATCAGGCTATATTCACCCTAGACATGATTACATAACTGCCCAGGCTTAACCGCAGCGTCCCAACATCCAAATACTTTTGTTTTGTTCTACTTATGAAACTGATTCCAGTACCTAGGTATACTTGTATACTTTTTATAAAAATACTTATATTTTTGAAAGTATACTTTTAGTTTAGAGCACTTAGGCCCCTTATTGTTTATAGTTGTATACCACGTAAGGTTCGGTATACTTAGTTCGCTATAAACAAGGGCTCTGATACCAATCTGTCACACCCCGAAACCGTGATGGCGGAATCGTTCCGGGGTGGAGGACGTCATGTTTAGCATCAGAACCAATGTATAATAGCAATCATAGTAAACACAACCCAAACATTGCATACATGAAAAATTTATATATGTTTACATCAACTTGAAGTTTGTTTAAATACATCTTATTCGCTCCGACTTCAATGAGAAACTTGATATAGAGTTTAGAAAAATGCTTCTAAAAAGGTTTTTATGGATTTACACAAACAAATATAGGGTTTTTGATAGGATAAGTTCAGAATTATCTCATCATATCAAATGAAAACATTACACATACAAAAAGAGGAAAGAAAGTACACACACACCAGTAAGTGTCCCCTGAGAGTGCCTCCACCAAAACCAAAAGAAGAAACAACCAATTTAGGGTTTCTTGTTTCATTAACATAAACAACCTGCAATGGCATCCTGAGCCATGGAAAGAACTCCTTCACACAAGCACAAAACTTCACCCCATTTTCAATTGGTGTCTTTGGATCAACAAATGCCCAACTCAATCCAAAATGCCTAAAATTTCCTAAAATAGAACCATCAATTCTGTGTATCTTAACAAAATCACAATCAGATTCTCTTCATTTTCAAATTCATTTGGAAGATAGTAAAGATATAAACAAACCTCCAAGTTTGCAGAGCAGTCTTGCCTTTTTCGTATGCGTCAGCGCCTGATCCCACTAAAGTTTTTGAATGATTGATTAAAAATCCATCTTTTGAAAGCTCTTTATCTTCTTTAAGAACAGACAATGGTTTTACAGTAGCTCCTCTGTATTTACTGTCATAGTTGAAGGTACCTGACCTGATGCATATCGTCCAACATATTAGGCGCAAACACGGGCAGTGAAATTAGGGTTTTTGAGAATGAATCATACCGGTCTAATATCACAGTCTAACAAGGAAAAAGGAGTTCACAATATCTCAAATTCTTAGAACTGATATCGAATCACAAAATAAAGCAAATAATTGCTTAAACCTTACTTGCTAAAGCAATCCTTCTGCTCTTTGGGAGAAGAGTGAGTACATGATACAGCTTACTTTGAGATGGCTAATCTCCACAGAACAGGGTAAGGAAGAAGAACACAAGTTGGGACAATTTTCTCTGTATTTTCTATGCTTTAAAAGGAAATAACAACTGAATTAAATATGCAGCTAAAGGATAAAGTCTAGGAGATCATGGATCTCATGGATGCAGAAACAAAGGAAACGTGATGCTAATTACTTGCCCCTCCCCCTTGCAAACAGCTAGTCTCGAGCCTGATGGGATAATCTGATTGATGTCAGACCTCTGGAAATCGGTCTCGAAATGCTTCATAAGGTTCCCACGTGGCATCTTCTAGTCCCTTATTTTTCCAGGAAACCAAAACTTGCAGCTGGTTGTTGTGATGCCGGTGATTGAGGATGTGAGCGGGAATTGGTACTTCGTCGTCTTCATTGTTGGTAACTGGTAACGGTATGGTAGTTGGGTTGCCATGGGCTTGGCGGAGTAATGAAACATGGAAGACCGGATGTACTCGCGATTCCGGTGGAAGTTGGAGTCGGTAAGCAACATTGCCGACTCGTTCGGTGATTTTGAATGGTCTATAGAATCGTTTGCTAAGTTTGGTTGTGTCCTGGGACCGAACGGACTATTAGTGGTAGTCACGGAGTCGCAAATAGACCATAGACTCAAAACTCTTTGTCAAGCCTGTGAGAGTTTGCTAAGTTGGTAACTCTTTGCTGGGCCCGTGGAAGGTTGTCTTTGAGTAAGGATGTTAAAAATAATTACATTACATTTATTATTAAAGTTTATTTGTGAGTAACTTTTAATGAAGGGTTTGTTTTGTCATTGTTTGTTTCTTCAGAGGTTGTGGCTCGCTTTCTATATTCTTATATGGAATGGAATGTGGATCTATTCACGGATTTGGTTCGGGTTAAACCAGACTTGAACCGGAAAGATAACACAAAGTATAAATTTGTGGTTGTAGGAGTATTTTGAGCATAACTCATTTTTGTATCAAACGTTTATTCTCATTATTTGCTCTCGTGTGTTCCATCTCGCTCTAGGGTTTTCTTAGTTGTTCTTGTTCTTTAATTTCCTCGAGTTATAATGGTTTTGAGTCTTGAGTCTTTGTTTTTTCTTTGAGTGTGAGTGGTTTTGTAGGTGAGGTTTCAGTTGTAAGTACCTGAAAACCAACTAGATCTTTTTTTACATAAATAAAAGATATGTTGATGTTGTGATAATCGATCTTGTGTTAGTTTTATGTTTTTGAACAAAGGATCTTAGTCGTTGATGTTCCACGAGTATGGTGTCAATGGATGTTGTTGAAGAGTCCCCAAGCTGGTAACGGTTAAGATCGGGAAAATGTTGTCACACCCCGAAACCATGATGGCGGAATCTTTCCGGGGTGGAGGACGTCATGTTTAGCATCAGAACCAATGTATAATAGCAATCATAGTAAACACAACCCAAACATTGCATACATGAAAAATTTATATATGTTTACGTCAACTTGAAGTTTGTTTAAATACATCAAAAGTATAAGGAAAATATAAAGACATAATCTTATTCGCTCCGACTTCTTCACAATGCTCGGAAGGTACCTATCTACTGATTCCCTGAGAATACAAGCAGTTTTGAAAGAATATCAGCAAAAATCTGGTGAGTTCATAAGCATTTAGTTTTTGGTGGAAAATGTTCTTTTGATTCTTTTGAAAAGTGATCCTCAAGAAAATCCCATATTTTCTTATGAAAAGCAGGTTTGAAAACCCGTTCCTTCCATGACTTCCCGGTTCGCACCAAGTACGCACAATCCAAGGAGTCATGGAATGAATACGAACATTCATTAGTAGAAAATAAACCATCAGTTTTAGAAATGCCAGTGTTATCCTAGGAAAATCCTATATTTTCCCTATAAACAGGTTATCCGTCCTAGAGGTAGAGATGCCAGTTTAGAAATCCCTGATTACTATCAGCATATATAAAAGTAGTTTTATTACTAAAAATAAAACTAATGAAGAATAGAGTCCGTAAACCAAAGTTAGTTTATACTTATTTGCGAGTCGTATAACCATACTTGATATGACCGAGAGACCTTTACAACGTTCTTCAGGCGTTAAGCTAAATGACATTTGTTCACCCCAGGCATGCCTGACTAACTGTAGCTAGCAGTTCAGGTGTGGGATTGTCAGTCCCGAATAGATCTATTCACAAATCTCACGCCCTCCCTCCAGGAGACTCTGGTTATACTAAAAGGATTTATCCCTGTACACCTAAGGATACAGTATTGAAGTAGAGCCTCACAATTCTGTATAATCTAGTTTACGCGCTAGAAACAGTATAAAACAATAAAATAATTCTATTTTATACTCCTAAGAAAATATATAACATAAACTAAATCTGTCATAGTTTATATATATTCATTCATGAAATCTGATTTGGTAAAAACTGTCTAGAGGGTTATCCCAAACTATACCCATTATAGTTTATTAGAGTTGATATGGAAAAATGTTTTGTAAAAACCTTTCTGAAATCATGAAGTTAGATTTCCAAAATAAAAGCTTCCCTTATGCTCAACTTAATACAAAAGGGGTAAAATATCGGAATATTTTATTGAACGTGGAAATCATTGAACTGTATTAATAAGTTTAAAACTTAATAAAATACTTTGAGTTTGGCTTGTATTCCCCCGTGAAAACATTAAAAACACGGAAAATGTAGGGGTATGAACTCACCTCGGGTTAGTGGTTTGATTGAAGGATCGATACGGAAGGCTGGATGTTCAAGTGAAGTCTTGAACACGATTTGATCCTAGTTAACACGTAATGACACATAAAGGAGTCAAATGAAGGTATTTCACCACTAGATGTGATGGAGAACCACTCTAGGGACTTGGTACTACTTGCACTAAGTGTTAGGACCTTAAAGGATTGCATGAGGGAGGTGTATGGCCACCTTAAAGGTGTGTGCGGCCATGGGTGTGCGGATCAAGGGGTGTGCGGCCGTACACTCATGTTAGAAAGTGTCTTTGAGGTGTTTCAAGGTCCATAGTTGCATCCATGAAGTGTTCTAGGTCTATACACAATTGTAGTGCAAGTTAAGGGTCCTATAAGTGGGTTTGCGGCCCTAGGATGAGTGTGTGGTCGCACACTAGAGTGTGCTGCCGCACACAAGGAGTGTGCTACCGCACAAGGGTGTGTGCGGTCGTACACCCTACAAGATGATGTCCAAAATGTCAATTCCAAGGTGCAACAAGGCTAGGTTCATGTCTATCTCGAATATGGAAGTCAATCTCTCACTTTGGAGGGTATTTTAAGAGTGTGCGGCCACCTTAAGGGGGTGTGCAGCCGCACTCACTTCCAAACACGAAGAACATGACGAATATTACACACTTAAGGCTTACATAGAGTGGTCTTTCATGGTTTGCAAGCTAGAGGATGAATTACTCACGTTTTTGAAGCTTTGGAGGGTTTGTGGTTGAAGAAGCTTGAGAGAAATGGTGTGGTGTGGTGTGCTGCCAAGGTGTTAAAGGAATGAGAGGAAAGGGGGCTACCCTTTATATAGGGGTAAGTATGCTGCCTAAAAGTAAGTGTGCGGCCAAGAGGTGAGTGTGCGGCTGCACACCCATGTGTACGGCCGTACACTCCCCCTAAGGGTGTGTATGGCCCGGTTTTGACACTATACGACTTGCTGACTCATTCCTAAACTCAACCTTGGTCATACTCAAGCTTAGAACACTTAAATGAACCCTTAAGCAGCACAAGAAGTCAACAAAACAAGTTTAACTTTGATTGAATTGACTAGGTGTACAAGATAGAAGTTCCGAGTTGTCACACATGTTGACCATACATTTCTTGAAACGGGGTCATGTTAATGGCATTATGATGGTACTTATTGTACCAGAACACAACAAGGTACAAGAATTTACTCCACGCTCGGTTCCTGTCACACCCCCAAACCAGACGGCGGTAAACGTCCGGGGGTGGATGACTTCATTTGTAGTATTACAACACATGCATTATAGTAATCAAAGTACAAACAACCATTGCATTAATAAGTATAAGTTTTTACATGTGTTCAACCAATGTATATTGACACCAAAATATAGTAAAAACTGATAGACGCAACTCAAAACTGCTTCGTCTTCTCAAAAGCTCGGGGAGTACCTGTCTACTGGTTCCCTGAGAATACAAGTAATTTGAAAAGAGAGTATCAACATAAGTTGAGTGAGTGCATAAGTATTTATGTTTGAAAGTATGTTTTTTGTTCTTTGAATATGTAAACTGTTCCAGAAAATCCTATATTTCCTGCTGTATATGAAAAGTAGTTTTAATCTCATAAAACCATTCTGTTTGTAAACTAGTGAAATTAACGGGTTTCAGCCTAGTATTCTTTGTGTTCTTCGTGTTCTTCGCGCTCTTCGTGAAAACTAGTGAAATTAACGGGTTTCTGCCTAGTATTATGAAGATTGAAAGATATTCTTGAAGTGATAACAAGATCAATAAATAATACCTGTTAAATCTTATGAAGAACTACAGATTATCACTTGAATATGATGAGAAAGGATGAATTTAGCATGTTCTTGAGGAGAGAGGTTGTTCTTGGCTGATGATACTTGAGAGAAAAGGGTTGAATTTTCGTTTGAAAGTGTAGAAATGAAGTAAAATCAGCCGAAATATATATATATATATATATATATATATATATATATATATATATATATATATATATATATATATATATATATATATATATATATATGGAAGGGTTCACAGTCCGAAGTGGTTCACGGTTGCGAGGTTTGCGATCCGAAGGGAAAGGAGAAGAAAGGTGGTGCAAAGTTTCTCGGATCCAACTTATTCCCTTCTTAAACACCTAAAATTCTTATGGTTTTAACATGTAAAGGTTATTATTCTAACCTTAATAAAAATCCAAACAATAAAGAGGACTTTAGTTCACCTAAGTTTGACTTTGGTTGACTAGGGTTGACTTTACAAGTAGAAAATAACGGGATGTTACAGTTCCATACTTGCAAATGAACGAAGGTAGGGTGTTGGCAACTTTAGTTTGACCATCAGACTGTGAGTGGTAGGTTGTGGAGTACTTCAAGTGGGTTCCCATTTGTTTGAAAAGTTCCTTCCAAAAAGAGCTAAGAAATATTGGGTCTCGATCTGAGACGATGCTTCGAGGAATTCAATATAAATGGTAGACGTTTTGGAGGAACAAGGTTGCCAATGAGACTGCACCAAATGTAGAGAAAGTAAAGCTAGAAAATGTGTAAATTTGGAAAAGCGGCCGACAATTACCCATATGGCAGTTTTTCCATTTGAGCTTGGAAGATGTGTGATGAACTC